GCTGGTGCTGTCCCTTCCTCCACATGAGCTCTGCTCTGCTCTGGGGAGCGTGCTCGTGTAAGGGGGCTCCTCGCTCACTTGGGGGAGGCTTACCCCACCTCAGGGAGTAACTGGGGAGGCATGCTTCCCCAACTCCAGGCTGGAGAAGCATGCACTAGGTTGGCGGAGGAGGTAGGAGCAGCTTTAACGCTGGAGACAGGTGATCTCACCTTGCGCTGCGCAGGTGCAATGGCCACTTTAAGCTACACAACTCACTAGGCCCGTGCGATGAAGGAGGCAGGACCCACCGCACCCTCAGGAAGAGAGTGGATGCAGGCCGCTCTCTTCAGGAGGCCTAGTCTACTATGATACATGCGAATGTCCCCTGCAGTGGAGGGGGCGGCAAAATCCTACCCTCTCAGTGAGAACCGCTGTCCTAGACAGATAAGGCAAGTGACAGTGATGCTCCAGCCACCCACCCAGGGGAGTTCCAAGTCTGACAGGAGGGGCATCTCCCACTCTCAGAGACACCTCATCAGTGGAGAAATTGCACCCCCATTCTTGGGGAGATCCTGACCTGCTGGAGGAAAAAGAGCACCATTCAAACCCGGAAGGAGCTCTTTCACCAATGGGGAACATGTCCACCCCTCAGGCGTCCCCCAGGTTGATGGCAGAGCTCTAGTCCGATGGGGGAGGCCGCACCCACCCCCGGCCTTTCTTCTTGCACATCTCCCTCCTCTCTTGGGGACCAAATGAGTAGGGCAGGGGGCTTCCCCCTTCCCACCTTCACTATGTAGCCTAGAATCAGGGAACTTCTGCAGGAGGACACCATGATTTCCAGCCCTGGGACTTCCCTTAATTTGTCAGCCCAAGACCGGCAGCAGGGAGGAGATAACCCGCCCTGCAGATCCCTGCTCACCTAGTGCCCTGACCTGGCCCTGTGAGGCAGAGGCAGAGGTGACACCCACAGGCTGCTGAGTGGCTCCAGTGTGCCAGCCCAGCCGGGACTTTCCATGCCTGACCCCGCCAGTGTTCTGGGGAAGGGGGGGGGTCATCCCCACCTTACATACCAGGCCTTGGGCAAAGCACTTGCCAGCGGCCACACCACCAGACCCGGATGCGTCCTCCTTACAGACACGGGCGATGTGCCAGGCTCCGGTGCTGAAGTCTTTCTTGCTGATTCACTGGATCCTGTCAGCCCCCAAGTTCTTGTTCTCATGGCTCAAAGAGGGCAACAGTGATGGAATGCTTCTCCAAAGCCACCAAGCAGAGCCCCTCCTCACACTCAGGGGGTCTAAGCCTGTAGGTGCAGCTCTGATCCTCTAGAAGATGGAGTGAGGCAGGGAATGGGTTATGGGGAGCCGAGAGAGGCAGGATTGGTTGGGGGGAACCCTCTGGCCATGATGCCAGCCCCAGGGAGCCCTGAAGCAGAGGCTGTGGCATAGAGGAATCCCAAAGTGGGCAGCACTGGCCCGTGCCTCCTGCCCCTCCTGCTTCAGTTAATGGCGTGTCCCCAGCTGGCCAACTGAGGTGGCTCTTGAAAGAGCCAACTGTGGGAAGCGATGAGCCATCTGCAGGCCTGGTTGCTGGGTCGCAAGCCCTTTCTTGAAGGGGAGTCCCGTTGGCGTGCCTCTGTGGCAGCCACTCCCACACGCTATATTAATAATAGCGATTATTTTCAGACACTATCTTCCGTCTATGGAGCACTTATTCCATATGCCAGCCGGTGCCAATGTGCATCAACTCATGTGATCCAACAGCCCCGGGAGGGTTTTGGCCCCCATTTTATAAATGAGGAATCGGAGACTCAGAGAGGGGAAGTCAGTTGTCCAGGGTCACACAGCTGGTAAGTGACAGAGCTGGGATTTGAACCCAGACAATGAGGCAGTGAGCCCCCCTCTTGCCGATGAGGACACTGAGGCCCGGTATTGCACTGTCTGATTGTCATCTCCTCCCTGGCACCCCTCACCGGACCTCCCCGGATTCCCCTCCCCCAGCCAGGGCAGACACCCAAGAGCCCCTGCGTTGTCAGCCAGGTCTGATGGAGGCAGCGCATGAGGAGCAGGGGAGGGTGTCTGACCCAGCACAGCCCGGAGGGATGTTGCAATCTTCTGACTCAGCGTCCTGCGTGCAGACCCAGCATGAGGGAGAAAAAAGGAAGATTAAGTCTTGGCCTGGGCCCCAGATGGGCTGATCCCACTGAGTGCCAAGGGTTCCAGCAGCTGCCAAGGCCCCAGGGTAGGGAGTAACCAGGAGGTCCAGGCCAGGCTTCAGGAAGCTGGCCTGCATTCACCCCTGGGGGTGGGGGACAGCCTTGGAGAACAGAGCTGATGGCAGACACAGTGGACTTCAGGCCCAGAGCCAAACAGGAGACTATGTGACCTTGGGCAAGTCCCTCCCGGTCTGGCTCACTGTCTGCTTTCTCCTGTCCTTGAAATTCACTTGTTCTCCCTGAGCTGCTCTTAGGCCTAACTGTTCCCTCTGCTGCACTAAGCCCTTCCTCTCTCTGCTGCTCTCCAACTTCCCTATGCCTGGAGGCAGCAGGGGGCACTACAGAAAGCAGAGCTCTCCTCATCCCAAAGCTGCCTCTCCCAGCTCAGTTTCCCATCAACACGGTCCCTAGGGAGTAAGGACCTAGAATTTGAGGTGGGTGGCAGGGGAAGACCTGTTCCGTCTGGAACTCACAACCACCCCTCCCAGGTCAGCGGATTGGAACCAGGGGGCTGGGGTCCCAGAGTCCTGATTTAAAGTCTCAACTCCCCCTTCCTGTCCCTCACTATCTGACCCTGGGCAGTGCCTTCACTCCTCTGTCCATTTCCTACTCTGGAAAATTCCAATTCTAGTTGAACTTTCCTCACACGGTGTGGACAGGACTAGGTGGGCCAATTCCTAGTCGGAGTTGAGCCCAGAGTGACCGGACCCATCTTGGGTGGTCTCTGGATGGAAGAGGGTGATTAAGGGGTCACCTAGCCTGGCAGGTTAAGGGAGGCAAGTGTGGAGATAAGAACGGACATCACACACACACACACAAAAAGAAAATCTTAATGCAAAAAAGGAATGTACATCATTCATTCTGCATTCCTGGCCTCAATCTGCTCAGCACTCCTGTAAAAGAGAAGCCATTGTCATCCCCAACTGTAAGGTCACAAAGAAGACACAGAGAGGGAAAGTCACCAACCCAAGGTCACACAGCTAACAAGGTAGAGTGAGGGGTCAAACCTATGTTTCTGAGGCCAAAGTGTTGAACCCTAACACCCTAATGAAATGGGTCCTTCTTTGAAATATTCACTGGCAATAATTGTTATTATTCCTGTGGTTATAACAGTAGTAGTAGTAATTGTAGTAATGATGATAATAGCAGCTACATGGCAGTGAGTACTCTTTTTACTTCAGGCCCTCGAAGACGGACGCATATTTCCTTGAGTTAATCTGTTGGATAGATGAGGAAGCTGAGGCTCCATGAGGTGAGTAGTTGCCTGGAGGTCACGAATGGAAACGGAGGCCTGAAGACATAGGCCTCCGGCAGAAGCAAAGCAGAAGGCCCAGGAATGAAGCCCATGGGAACCTAGGGTCCTGCTCTGTCCTCTCAGGAAGGGACTCTGAGGCCACCAAGAACAGGCCCACAGCCTCTAGCTGGGACTTCATTTCCCTCTTAGGACCTTGAACAGACACAGTGTTGGCCCTTCCATCCCTGGGGCTAAGGGGAAGCATGAGGAGGAAGAAGCAGTGAGAGGGAGAAAACCTGACAGGTACAAAGGGCAGCCTGCATGAGGTAAAATGGTTAGACACCAAGCAGGACTTCTGGGCCTTCTCTGGAAAGTTTTTGGGACTCATCCAGGGGCTGCCCTTGCCAATGGGGGGAGCCTCCTGAACTCAGGCCCTGAGAGGGGAGACCCTAGTCCTCCCCCCTGAGGTATGGGGAGCAAGGGGGGAAAGGTGGGGGGTAGCCATCCTGGTTCTGCATCCTCCATTCCCGACACTGGAGGGAGGCGGCTATGGGAGCTGGGACTTTCCTGAGCCGTAGAAGGTTCTGGGAAATTAGAGCCATCTGCAGGGCGGGGCTGACTCCAGGCCTCCCTTCTCCTCCCTCCCTTTAGTCCCTGCTTGTCCCCAGGCACGCCTCTCTTCCTTCCACCTCAAGGAGGCCCTCCTCAAAATGCTCCCCTTTCCTCAGCCCATGTCCTCCACCCTCAGACCCTGAGATCCCCCTCAGATCTCCTCTCTCAGAATTTGCCTCTGTTAGGACCCACAGTCAGGCACCCCGTTTTGTATCGGGGCTGCCCTATAACACCTCTACCCTCAGACCCTCTCCAAATCTCCTTTTCCCTCAGACCTTTCTTTTCCCCTTCTTTTCCTCCTCCCTCCGGGCTGCCCTCCTCATTGGTCTGTGCCCCCTCAGACTGTGCCCCCTCTCTCAAACCTCTCCTATTCCTCAGACTTCACCTCCTCCTCAGACCTCACCTCCTTCAGGCCTCACCTCCTCTCTCAGATGGTCTCTTTTCCCTCCACTGATCTTTTCTCTCTCCCTCAGACCCTCCTTGCTCCCCTTAGACATCTCTCTGAGACCTTTCATCTCCCTCAGATCCTCTTCCCTCCTCAGACTTGGAACCCCGAGCACCCTCTCTCCACCTCTCTGAGCCCCCTCTGGGCCAGGTGCAGATGCCATTCCTGCTGGGGCCTGAGCCATTGCTCCACCTGCCATCGGGAGCCAGGGAGTGGGAGGATCTTGGGGGTCCTTCGAGCTTTACCTCCTGGGATCCCCACCTCAGCAAGCCCCAGCCTTCTGAGGTCCAGCCTCCCTTTGTGTATCTGGGGCAGTGGGCCACGTCCTGCCACTCTCCTGCACTCGGGAGTCCAGAGGTCAGGGCGGGTGGGCGAGACCACAGCCCCCAGACTTTGTTACCCAAACCCCTCACCTCTTCCTTTGTAGCTGGGGGGTGTGTGTGTGTGCGGGGTGGGGGGGGCAGCAAGGTCCCAATTTCCAGAAGAACAAACCGAGTCTCAAGCTTGGGGATGGAACACTTTCAAATCTTACAATTCTATTTTTCACGTTACACCTTAATAAAGGTGGCAATGCAGATTCATGCATCAACGAACAGATAAAGAGGTGCAGGTCTTATCCCGCTTGCCTGAGGTCCCGCAGGAAGTCAGGGTGGAGGAGGATGTCAGTTTCTCCATCCCAGGAGGCTGAGGGGGAAAGAGAGGCAGAAAATAGAGAAGGGGTGAGGCCTCTCCCTGCCCACAGCTGCTGCTCACATCCCGAGTTAACCATCTACCGGGGTGGGGCCCAAGTCCCGGGCAAAGTCCCTTCCTGCGGACCGGGGCCCCACATCCACTTTCAGGGTCCCAGACAGACGCTGCCGGAGACGCAGAGACAGAAAGAGCCCGGGGGCGGGGCCGGGCCTGCGAGAGCTGCCCGGGACCGGGACGAGCTGCAGAGACGGGGAGACACAGACACGGGGAGACTCAGCGGCCGCCAGGGCAGATCTGGGGTGCGGAGCAGATCCATTCCCCCGTCTGCTAGGTCCCCAAAACCTCCCCTCGGCCTCCGGTAACTCAGTGACCGGGACGCAACCCCAGCGGCCGCCCCGCCTCCTGGGAAATCCGGGAAAGCCCCGAATCGCGGGGCTCCTCCCCGGGGCGGGGAGCAGGGCTGCAGGGCGGGGCCCGGGGAAGCCCGCCCCCTGCCCCCTCCCGCCGGTCTCTGAGTCATGCCCCCAGCCCGCCCGGCCTGTTCCCCACCCACGGGCCCCTCCCGGGATGGGGTGGGAGGGGGAGGTGGGGGAGCTCGGGGGGCTTAGCGGCTTCGGGTCTTGGGTTTCTGCGTCTCTCGCTGCCTCTCACGAGGAGCGCTCTCCTGGGTCTCTCTCGATCCCTGTGTCTCTCCCTCCGTGCACCCAGGGCCCCCTCCGGCACGCACCCCTCCTGGGCAGCTCGGGCTGGGCGCAGGGACCCCGGGGGGGCGAGGCACATTCAGGGGTGCACGCCCACCCCATCGGCGCCCCCACCCCACCCGCCCCCTGCCGTGCAGCCCGCGGCCGGGAGGCCCCGGAGGAGGCAGGGCTGGGGGCAGGGCAGGCGGCGGGACGGCGAGTGTCCCGACCCCGGGCGCGTCTTCGCGCTCCCACAGAGGAGGAAACGGCCCGGGAGGGGAAGTGCCCTGAGCGAGGTCACGGCGAGGAAGTGGAAGCTGGGCGCGAACCCACGTCCTCGAGACCCCAGGGCCGCGGTGGAATTGCGTCCCCGGGGGGGGAGGCCGGGAAGCAGACGGAGATGAGGAAAGAAGCAAAGAGTCCGAGCGAGAGGGAGGGCGAGACCGAGCCTGGGGGCCGGGCACCGGGACCGGGGATGCTGCAGGGGCGCGGCTCGGCGCCCCCGTCCCGGCCGGCGCGTCAGCGCTGAGAGTCGCGTGCGGAGAGCGAGTCCCGGCCGGCGAGACAACAGCAGAGCCCGGACCGCGAGGGGCCCGCCGCCGTGGGGGTGGGGACCCCCGGCCCGACCCCGCCTCCCTCCCGGCCCCCCGCCCCCCGCCAGGCGGCGCGGCCGGGGCTGCTCCCGCGGGGCGGGGGGCGGGGCGCGGGGCGCGGGCGGGCGGGGCGCGCGGCGGGCAGCTCCGCGGGGCGGCGGGAGCGGCGGCGGGTCCAGGAAACCCCTGGGGCGGTCGGGTGGCCCCGGGGGGGCCGGGGGCGGGGAGGCGGGCGGCCGGCACCGCCCCGACCGACAAAAGTCCCTTCAGTTCAGCCGGCGGCAGGGGAAGTCCCCGCGCCGGGCGCCACCACCCTCCCGGGCCGCCCGGCACTGCAGCGCTCCGGCCGCGCGCTCGGCCGCCGTCCCCGGCGGCCCGATGCCCCGATGCCCCGCGGGGGCCATGGACGAGGGGCCCGTGGACCTGCGCACCCGACCCAAGGCCGCGGGGCCCCCCGGCGCCGCGCTGCCGCTCCGCAAGCGCCCGCTGCGCGAACCCTCGCTGGAGCCCGCCGCCCCCCGCGGCGCCCCGGGCCCGGTGGTCCCCCGGATCCCCTCCGCGGCGGCTCCGACTTGCCGGCGGTCCCCGCGCCTCCGCACGGCCTGGCCCGGCCAGAGGCGCTTTACTACCAGGGTGAGTGCCTCGCGGGGGTCAGCGGGGGGGCGGACTGCGCACCGGGTCACCACAGCCAGGGGCAGAGTTGGGGTGCTAGTACAGGGAGCCCCCGGGAGCCGAGAGACAGGGGAGTAGTCCAAGCTCCCAAGTGCATAGGCGTGGGGTTCTTGGGAAATTAGGGGCCGAGACCGAGCTCCCAGGAACACGGGTATGGGAGCATCGGGGAGCAGTGCCTTGGGACACAGTTATGGGAGTCTCAGGGACTCTGGGGTGCAGAGCCTGAAGTCTCGGGACTGCAGAATTTTAAGTTCTTAAGAAGCCAGCAATCTAGGCCTAGGACCAATCAGTGCTCGGGCTCAAGAAAGTGGGGTTCTTCGCATTCAGATATGTGGAGTCCAAGGAAGAAGACGGACATTAGGGATCCCAGGATGGCACAATCTTGGGAACCAAGGTATAAGGGTGCAATGGGAATTAGGAGGAAAAGAGTTGAGCTCTGTGCACCCCTATATCGGAGATCACAAGAATCTAAAGAAACAAGCCCAAATACTAAGAATCCTGAGGGGCAAGGTGTTAAGCACCCCACTGTGAAGCAATCCACAGCCTCTGCAGCATGAGTTCCAGCCCCGGCTGGCCAGGGAGCAACACACATGGCCCAGCAGACCTCTCCTGTCTCGCCCGCTGCTCCCCTCAGCAGTGTAGTTCAGTCAGTCTGCCTGTTCTGCTCCCCACTCTGTCTCTGGTGGATCCTCTCAACCCCCGCATCTCTGGCCTGTACCCCAGCTGTTGTGTGCATAAATAAATAAATAAATCTTTAAAAAAAAAAATCCTGAGGAGCTAGCAGGACAGAGCGCCAGGCTGCTGGGCACCCAGTTATGTGCCCTGGTGATAGGGATGGGGCCTCATTAGGGGTCACAAGATCTTGTGACCCTAGCAGACTTGGATCCTAGAAATGGGGGCTAGGACTTGGTGGTTCTGGGACTCAAGTATCTAGGATGAAGAATTAAGGGGTCTCTGGAGAGAAGGCCTCAGGGTGCCTAGGCCTACTACTGGAGATGCAGGGACCTTGCAACTTGGTTCTGGAAAGGAGGCCCCAAAGACCAGTTGATGACAGAGAGTGCCAAACATATACAGCCATCCTGTTTCCATCCGTGAGCTCAAGGCAGGGGCATCCCCTACCACAGCTCACTGTGCCCTGGGGACCCCCCCCCCAGGCTACAGAATTCATGCCTAGTGCCTCCAGATCTTTGCTAGTTTCTGCAGCAGAGAGTACTCAAGCTGGGAGTTGGGAGGCCTGCCTCTGCCCCCCATCTCCCTCCTTCACTGGGATAACCCAGACCTCAGTGTCCCTATCTATGCAATGGGTAGATAAGATTTGACAATAGTCTGATCTCTACCTATCTATAAGGTGAGAGGCTCCACCCCTCTCACCTTATGACCCTCCCCTGTCCCCAGACTCTACACATTCTCCCACACCCCTCACCCAGGGCTTCCTTTATCCATGCCTCCCTCAACTGCAAATTTACTCAGCAAATGGGACTGGGGTCCCCCTGCTGGGTGATGATAGGGGTTCAGTCCATATTCAAGGGGTTGCCTAGACAGACATATGAAAAGATAACTGCTAAGGAAACGGACCAGGCTGGGGAGAGAAGGGAAGCTGCGGGGAGTCCAGAGAAGGGGTGTAGAAGGAGGGGTTGTCTGGGGTCATGAGGACCCCAGGTCTGAAGCAAAAGGGGCGGGGGGAGGGCAGATGACACAGGGAGGAAAGGTCTGGAGGTGGGAACTGGCTTGAGGGTCTCTAGGCTTGGCCTCACCCACTTCCTTTCTCTGCATAGGACCTTTACTGCCCCTGTACCCCACCCCAACCATGGGCTCTCCGTTTCCTCTTCTCAACCTGTCTACGCCCCTGTACCCCATGATGTGCTCCATGGAACACCCTCTATCAGCAGACATCGCCATGGCCACCTGTGCAGATGAGGATGGAGACACGTGAGTGACAGCCCCCAGAAAGGAAAGGTGGGAGGTGTGGGGGTAGGGAAGACAGCCCTCCACCCACCTCACCCACCACCACCCAGGGGCACTCAGCCTGGGTGTTCTAAGCCAATTAGAATCCTGCTCCACTGCTAGCTGTGTGACCGCGCAAGACCCTTTCTCTCTCTGAACCTCAGTTTCCTCTTTTGAAAAAGGGGTGTCCTCACAGCACTTACCTTGGCACAGTGGGCGTCACTGTTCTTTGTCAGCACTGTCCAAAAATGAGAAAGACATTTCACTGATTGAGTTATTGTATGCAATACGGCTCTGAGCACGGAGCCTGGCATAAGTGCTCAGGGAGTATTTAGGAATAAAAGTACTTTATACTAAACTCACACCCCTCTAAGCTTAAAATAAAAATGACAGAGAACAAAGCAATACTCACCCTTACTACCTGGGATCTACTTCGGTGTTTGCTAGTCTAGTCTATTTCACCACTTTGTGGTCAGTGCCCACTAAACTGATGTGATGATCCCTTCCAACGATCTCACCAGTCTCATGGTGTGTGACTTGCCGTGTCAAGAGCCTGCTGCTGAGGCAGCCGAGAAATCCTGCACGGGAGTCGTTAGCTGAGCCTAGCCCAAGTCTTCATTTGACCATCATCGCTACTATTAGTCTATCAACGTTAGTTTGAATCTCAGCTGGCCACTTTTCTCGCCTCTCTCTGCCTCAGTTTCCCCCTATAAAAACTGGAACCATAAGTATGTGAGGGTCTCTGTGAGAAAGAAATGATTTCTATGAAGAGCTTCTCTGGGGATTGCTTTCGGGCCTGGAAACCCCCGGTAAGGACAGGATGAACAGACCTGTCTCTGCAGGGTAGGGGGGAGTGCTCCACCTCTGGCCCCGCCTCAGTTTCCCTAGCTCGAATTCAGGACTCATACTAGCACCTCTCACAGTGAGATTCAGTACAGTAATACACGGGTATATCCGGGTGCACACAGTAGGTGCTCAATCTGCATGAGTGGGTGTTGCTGGAACCTAGATCCGCTGGTGGTTGTAGCCCATCTGGGTGAGCCCAAGTAGGAGAACGTGCCTGAGCTATATAAAGGACTCATAAAACTGGTTCCCTCCTCCTTTAGGCAGCTCTGGGGTCACCCCTGAAAGGTTTCATTCCTTATCTGCCCCCAGGGTGAGTTGTTTGGGGCCTGTGAAAATCGGCTGCAGAAGGCTACCTGCCACACCAGTCTCCGGCCCTGGGCCCCACCCGCCGTCCCCGCTCTCCCCACCTCTCCCCCAAAGCAAACACTTCTGCCTCAGCTGCCTGTTGGGGGAAATCCCTTCCCGCAGAACTTGACCGCAGCCCAGCTGCTCTGCCTCCCCCACGTCAGCGCCCGTCACTCACTCGCAGCCGCCCCCTCCCGGCTCCTTCTAACCTTAACCCCTTCCGCTGGGGCCGGGCCTTTACCGGAATGGGCAGCTGGTGGCGTCGTGGGGGGCAGGGAGAGGAGATCATGCTAAGTCTGGGTCCCGAGAGCTGCAAAGCTCCGGTGAGAGGCTGCACGTCTAGGGACTCAAGGGAACAAGAATCTCAGGGCCTGGGGACCCTCAAGAGGTCAGGCACCCGCGAGCTAGAAATGCAAAAGAGGGTAACGCTTTCGGAGTCCCAGAAAGCAGAGGTTGGGGTACTGTATTCCTTGACCTCTGGGATGGCATGGAACGGAGTGGAGGGCAGTTGGAGGATCTAACACGCCGAGGCCCTGGAGAAGGCTGTATCCACAGAGTGTCAGGGCAACAACTCTAGGAGATCTTGGGGGTGGATGCCAGGAGATGGGGGATCAGGAGCCAGTTGGGAGTCCTGAAGCATGGAGTTCTAAAGGCCCCCCAAACTGGAGGACTTGGGGTCCTGCCCCCCAGGGAAGCTAGGTCTCTTTGGGTTGGACTCCCCCCTTCCGCCCCATGCGAGGATGGAAGTTGGGGTGCCGGGGGTGGCCGGGTAGATCCCCGGCGGGACAGGCTTCCCTCCCCCGGGAGCAGGAAGCGGAGCCCCGCCCAGCAGACCTGTTACTGGAAGTCCGAGGGCTGGGCCGCCCCTCCCGTCCCCACTTCCTCCAGCCCCGCCCCACCCCCTGCGGCCCGCGCGTTTATGGGAACTCAGGCTTGGACGGTTTCTCTGAAATCATTCGCTCCCTCTGCCCTCACTTAACCCCGCCCGCCCGGAGAGGGACCCTAGTGGGGCTGCCTGGGAGATACCGGGAGTGAAGAGAGACCTTACCGGGCCCACCCCTCCCTACCAGCCCCAGGTCCGGCCCTTCACCCAACTTTCTTATTTTATTTGGCGTTAGAATTCATCCCGCCTCACTGACCTGCACTGCCTCCTCCGGAGAGGTTAGGGTTATCGGGGGTTGTTCCTTACGGAGGGGGAAACTGAGGCTCAAAAGGGCCATGTGTCTTTTGCCCTAGCTCACACAGCCAGGGAGGACTGCAGCCTAATGGGAAACCCTGGCCTGCTTATCCCCCCACCCCAAGATAGAAAACACCCCGGGCTGCAGGATTTCTGCACTCGCTCCCAAGCTTCTAGGGAGCTGGTTTCAAAAGTGGGTTCAGCATGCAGTGGCACAGTTGTTTGTTGGCAGACAGTGGTGGGTGAGCATGTAGCTGCTCTAGTAAATAGACGTTTTTGTGACACCCCTATATTTGCTGTCCCCCCACCTGTGCCCTTGTCCAGAGCCATCAGCACTAAATGACTATCCCTGATGGGGTCTTTGGGGAGCATGCCCCAGGAAGCAGGACTGGACAGTGGGCACCGGGCTGTCTGGTCACAAGAGTGGCTCCGCTGTCCCACAGGGCAGGCTGAAACTGGGGTGGCCTTCTCCACCAGCACTGACCACTCTCTGGATGCCATGGAGCGGCAGCTGCCTCTGCTCATGTGGGCCAGCAGATCTTTTCAGCAGGGTAATTCAGAGAGAGTTGGACGCTGACAACCTTCCCAGAAGCTGGGGAATGAGTCCTTCCATGCAGTCCGGGGGAATCTGGGTTTCAAAGCCCAGCATCCAGAGCAATAACCCCATCCCATTCTGGCTCACCTCCCATTTAGGCACAAATTTCTCTACTTAGCCCTTGCTAAGCGGGTCGGGGGCCGTACAGTCACAATCCGTGGAGTGAGCCTCATTGCACCTGGTTCACCCACACTCATTTCACAGAGGAGAAAATTCACCTAGGCGGGGTGGGGGAGGGGAGAGCCAACTGTCACCCCCTTCCAGGCTGTTGGTCTAGGGGAACCATTGAGAGGGAGTCATTTATACAGCGTGTGTTTCTGGAGGACCCGTTCAGCACCAGGCACTGTCCAAGGCATGGGGCAGTTACCAAAGCAGTCAAAACGCCCTGCCCTGGGGGAGCTGACATTCCGGTGGGGGCGATTCAGACAGGAAACAAGTAAACTGCACGACGTCAGGTGATGGTGTAGAGGAAAATAAAACAGGGGAAAGAGGAAGGGAGTGAGCCCCGGCTGCACCATTTTAACAGAAACCTGAATGACGAGATACGAGAAACCTGCTGATAGCTGGGGGCAGACTTTCCGAACAGAAGGAATAGTCAGCGCAAAGGCCCTGGGAAGCAAGTGTGTTTGGTGTGTTGGAGGAACCTTGAGGAGGCTTGCGGCCAGAGCAGATTCTAGAGGGAGAACAAAATCACATCAGGGTTTGTGGGTCGTGGTGGAGACCATGGCCTTTACCCTGGAGGTTCTGAGCGGAGGAAGGGCATGACCTGGCATGGGTTCTCACAGGGCCCCTCTGGCTGCCTTGTGGAGGACAGCCAGTAGGGCGGGAGTGGAAGTAGGGAGGCCAGTAGGAGGGCATGGTCCAGGAGAAAGACTATGGGAGGGCTGTGCCAGGATGTGGGGGTGAGGGTTGGGAGAAGTGGTTACATTCTGAAGATAACTTGCAAAGATTCAGCACATAACTGCTTTTAGCACGCTGAGTAATGCGGGTGAGAGGTGACCAGCACCTAATGCCTGTGACCTCCCACCCGCAGGCCACTCCACATTGCCGTGGTGCAAGGCAAACTGTCAGCTGTGCATCGACTTGTCACCCTCTTCCAGCATGGGGGCCGGGACCTGGATATTTACAACAACCTACGGCAGGTGAGGCTGGGGACCTGGACTCCTGGGTCTGATGGAAGAGGGGCTGGGGACTGAGACTTCTAGGTCAGAGGGGAAGAAGGGTTCTTGAATCTGAAGGCAGAGGTGCTCCAGATTTCTGGCTCCTGCTTGAGACTGCACTTGGGGTTCAGAACTCAGAAATTCTGGAACGCAAGGCAGGGTCCGGGTTCCTTACAGTGTCTGTTCCCCAGACACCGTTGCACTTGGCTGTAATTACCACTTTACCGTCTGTGGTCCGGCTACTGGTGTTGGCTGGTGCCAGCCCCATGGCACTGGACCGCCACGGTCAGACAGCAGCCCACCTGGCATGCGAGCACCGCAGCCCGACCTGCCTGCGGGCCCTGCTGGACAGCGCCGCCCCGGGCTCGGTGGACCTGGAGGCCCGCAATTACGACGGTGAGCAGCTCCCCCGGCGCAGGGAGGGGCTGCCTGGGAGGCTGCCAAGCCCCAGGCCTAGGTTTAACTGAGTCTCGCCGTCCCTCAGGACTCACCGCCCTGCACGTGGCCGTGTACACCGAGTGCGACGAGGCCGTGCTGCTCTTGCTGGAGCGCGGCGCGGACATAGACGCGGTGGTGAGCGTGCGCGGGGCCGTGGGCACCGGGGCGCGGGGCCGTGGGCACCGGGGCGCGGGGCCGTGGACACCGGGGCGCGGGGCCGTGGACACCGGGGCGTGGCCAGGGGAGGGGCCGCGAGGGCGGGCGGGCGCGGGAGGGGCTTGGGCGGGAGCTGAGGGATCTGGAGGCGCCCCCGGACCCAGGGGCTGGGATGCGCCGCCCGCTGTCTCTGCAGAGCTGGGAGAGACTCAGAGACCTTCCCTCCCTGTCGCAGGACATTAAGAGCGGCCGCTCCCCGCTCATCCACGCCGTGGAAAACAACAGCCTGAGGATCGTGCAGCTGCTGTTGCAGGTGGGTACTGCCCTCGCCCTCGGCTTCGCGCTGGCCTGTGCTCCGGCACCAGCCCGGCTGTCGCCCGCGTCCCTGGCACTGACCTCGCCTCCCAGCTCTGCTTTCCAGCCCTGACCGATCCTGCCAGGCCTTGTTGTGGCGACCCTATGGCTCTGCTTCCCGTGCCTGTCGCGGGCGCTCCCCCATGGCTCCCCGCCTCCAAAAAGACCCGGGTCCCGCCCAGCGATGGCCTGTGGGGCTCGCCTTCAGCTCTAGTCGGGTCCCCCACGCTCTCCGCCTCCACGCGGCTGACCCGAGCCCTGCAGGCCGCCCCGGGCAGCCCGAGTCTCCTGGGATGGGGCAGCGCCGTGGCCAGCCCTCCGGGCGGCCCACCCTTGCTTCTGTCAGCCCCTCCCCCCAGATCTGCTCGGCCCCGGGGTCTGGCCTGAGTCCAGAGCCCCCCGCCTCGCTCCCCCCCCCGGCCCCACCCCGCCTGCCCTGGCCCCGCCCCGGCCTGCCCCCGCCCCCCGCGGGCGGCGCCGGGTCCTGACGGCCGCTCCGCCCCCCAGCATGGCGCCAACGTGAACGCCCAGATGTACTCGGGCAGCTCCGCGCTGCACTCGGCGTCGGGCCGCGGGCTGCTCCCGCTGGTGCGCGTGCTGGTCCGCAGCGGCGCCGACAGCGGCCTCAAGAACTGCCACAACGACACGCCGCTCATGGTGGCGCGCAGCCGCCGGGTGAGTGCCGCGCCGTGCGGGCGAGGCCGTCGGGGGCCGGGGCGCGCGGGCGCCGCGGGGTGCCCGGAGGCCGGCGCGGGCAGGGGTGCTGGGGCGCGCGCCCGCGTGCAGCGCCTCGAGGGAGCGGGTGAGCCCGTGAGGGCGTGGGGGGAAGCTGGAGACTGAGGAGAGACTGAGGCCCCAGGAAAGGAATTGACGAGCCCCCCCCCCTTCACTTACTGAGGAGGAGCCTGTTCCCCCGGACAGACCCCAGGAGCGAGGAAAGCTGCAGAGGGGGAGGGCTGTGTGGGCAGGACCGGCCTGGTGGTGAACCCCTCTTCCCCAGGTCATCGACATCCTGAGAGGGAAGGCCACCCGGCCTGCTCCTGCACCTCAGCCTGAACCCTCCCCAGAGCGCAGCGCCACCACTTCCCCTGAAAGCAGCAGCCACCTCAGCTCCAATGGTGAGAAACTAGCCCCCAACCTCCTGCCTCCCAGCCCCACCCCGGCTGAACCCCACTACCCTCCCTGGGAACCCAGGAGCTGGGCCCACCCTTCCCCCACCCCCACCACCTCCACTCTGGATCTGGCCTCTCCCTGGCTCACCCTTCCCCTCTCTTCTTTCCACAGGTCTTCATTCTGCATCCCCACCCTCCTCACCTGCCCAGTCACCCCCCAAGGACTCCCTTGGATTCCCCATGGCTCCCCCCAGTTTCTTCCTTTCTCCTTCATCTCCACCTGCCTTCCTGCCCTTTGCTGGGGTCCTCCGAGCCCCTGGCCGGCCAGTGCCCCCCTCCCCAGCTCCAGGAGGCAGCTGAGAAGCATGGGGGGGCAGATCTCGGACTCATGAGGAGGGACCTCCCTGCCCTTTGGGGTCAACCCTCCTGGAAACTGTGAAGAGCTCACTCTGCCCCCCCCCCCATCTTTGGGAGCAGGATTTGCACAGAGGCACATGCACCTACCCTTAAGACCCTCTTCTGAACACAGTTATCCCCAACCTGTCTCCCCGCGTCCAAGGACTCTTATCTCCCATTATTCTCAGGCACCCGTCCCCCGTATGGAATTCCACTCAAACCATCCATTCCTTCTCCCAGAGCTGGGGGAACCAGGGGACAGCTGCTCCCCTCTGCCCTGACCCAGGTTCAACGAGGAAGGGAAAGATGGGCTGTAGCTAGGCACTGATAACAATGTAAATTATTAGGCATTTTGGTTGGATTTCTTTTGTAATAAACTATTTTTGTACCATATCCCCAGCTTGTGTGGACCGCTCTCATGAGGAGGTCTAAAGGAAGTGTGTTTGTGTGTGTGTACACACCCATGTGCTTTACCCAAGTCGCTCCATGCCTTTCCAGGAGAGTCTCAGACTGGGGATGACTTGGGGTGGGGGGAGACACTGGGACTTCCGGTGTGTCTGGTTGTCGCCATTCTCATTGTGTTACAGTGCTGTTGTTTCTGGGCATGATGTGGGGTGTGCGATCTTTCCAGAGGACCCTGTTGGGTGTGTCTATGTGTTTCTGAGGGATTCCGCAGTTGATGGGTCCCTATGTTACCACATCTGATTGTCGGGTGACCCCGCGGTCTCTGGGTCTCTGTGGGGGGCATCTGTGAGTGTGCCTACATGGAGACCTGGCACTGGGATGATTGCTTCTTGTGACGGCCTCGTCTGGTGGATCTCATTTCACTCAGCAGCTACAGGCTCCCCTGGAGACAGTGTCTGTGTTTTGACTCTGTGAATCAGTCTCTATGTACCAGTCAAGGTTCACATGCAAATCACCATAAAGTCAGTGGCTTAAAACAACACAAATGTTTTCTCTTATGGTTCTAGAGGTCAGAAGTCCAATATCAGTTTCTCTGGGCCAAAGTCAAGATGTCAGTGGGGCTAGGCCTTCTGGAGCCGCTGAGGAGTCTGTGCCTTATTCCTGGTCTCTGCCAGCTTCTGTAGGCCATCTGCATTCCTTGACTTACAGCCCCTTCCTCATATCTCTCCAACCTCTTACTTCTAGCTACACATTTTCTTTCATTTTTTTAAAAAAAAAAATTTATTTTTGGGCCTCCCCGGTGGCACAAGGGGTTAAGACGCAGCACTATGAAGCAATCCGCAGCCTCTGCAGCATGTGTTCAATCCCCAGCCGGCCAAGGAGCATCCCACATGGCGCAGCAGACCTCTCCTGACTCGCCCACTGCTCCCCTCAGCTGTGTATTTCAGTCAGTCTGCCTGTTCTGTTCCCTGATTTGTCTCTGGTGAATCCTCAACCCCTGCATCTCTGACCTGTACCCCAGCTCTTGTATGCATAAATAAATCTTTAAAAAATATATTTATTTTTTTATGCATACTAGAGCTGGGTGCAGGCCAGAGGTGTGGAGTGTGAGTGGATTCACCAGAGACAGAGTGGGGAGCAGAACAGGTGCATCTACTGAAATACACTGCTGAGGGGAGCAGCGGGTGAGACAGGAGAGGTCTGCTGCGCCATGTGGGTCAGCTCCCTGGCTGGGAATTGAACTCATGCTGCAGTGGCTGCGGGTAGCTTCATTGTGCTGCAAGTTAACACTTTGCACCACCAGAGAGGCCCCTACCTACACATTTTCTCTGTGATCTGCCACCCTCAGAAGGACGCTGTCCTCAAAAGCCTTAGTGTCATCACTTCTGCCAAGTCCTTTTTTCCATATTAAGTAACGTTCCAGGGCCTCCCCTAGTGGCGCAGCGGTTGAGCACTGGGCTGCGAAGCTGCCTGCAACCTCTGCAGCGCCAGTTTGATCCCCAGCCACCTGCGAGGGTCCCACATGGCGCGCAGATCTCTCCTGCCGCACCCGCTGCTCCCCTCAGCAATGTACTTTGGTCCTTCTGCCTGCTCTGCTCCCTGCTCTGGCTCTGGTGAATCCTCTCGCCCTCCTGTGCTTCTGACTGTACCCAGTGCTTGTATAAATAAATAAGTAAATAAATCTTTAATAAATAAATAAATAAATAAATAAATAAATAAAGTAATGTTCCAAAGATTAGGATATAGATATCTTTTGGAGTCTTTATCAGCTGACCCAGGGTTCAACTAGAGAAGCAATATTACTAGGAGGTATGCACACCAATTAGAGATTTGTTGCAGGGATTTTTGAAAGTCCTGAAAGAAGATGGAGGTACAGGGGAGCAGATAAAGGACAACCTGGGACCCTTGAGAAAAGACTGGAACTTGTGTCAGTCCCCACTGCCTCCGGCCTGATGACAGGGGTGTCCTGCAGAGGAAGCTGGCCACCTGTCCCCTTCCGTTGGTCTATGGAGTAAACATGTGTTCATGTGTTTCTGAATGACACTGAGTATTATTTTTTAAATCTGAATGGAAGGGAGCAATCCCTGGGGCCCTGGTCTTGGTACACCATGGCAGTTGTGATAGTTTCTGTCTCCATCTCTTCATTACATCTGTACCTGTGAACCCAACATCTCCTTGGAAGAGACTGTTGGACTCCACAAAAGGCTGTGTATTCACGTGGCCTCCTGATCAGGTGCCCCTGCATCTGTGTGTGTGTGTGTGATCCTGCCTCTGGGCTGTATGTCCCTATAACTGACTAGGAGGGTACCTTAGCTTCCTAAGGCTGCTGTAACAAAAGTCACAAACTAGGTGGCTTAGAACAACAAAAATGTGTTCTCTCACACTTCTGGAGGCCAGAGGTCCAAAATCAAGCTACGGACAATGCTGTGCTCCCTCCAAAGATTTGAGGAGGAGCCTTCCTCCCTACTTCCAGCTTCTGGTGGTTTCCAGCGTTCCTTGGCTTGCGGCTGCATCACTCTGACCTCTGCCTGTCTTCACATGGCCTTCTCTGTGTGTCCATGTGTTGTTCTCTTCTCGCTCTCTTTATTTTAGAGATTTATTTATTTATGTATACAAGAACTGGGGTGTAGGCCAGAGGTGCGGGGGGTGAGAGGATTCACCAGAGACAGAGTGGGGAGCAGAACAGGCAGATCTACTGAAATAAACTGCTGAGGGGAGCAGCAGGTAAGTCAGGTAAGTCAGGAGAGGTCTGCTGTGCCATGTGGGTAGCTCCCTGGCTGGGTATTGAACTTGTGCTGTAGTAGCTGCGGATTGCTTCGGAGGCCCCCTCTTCTGTCTCTTTTAAGGACAATGTCATTAGCTTTAGGACCACCCAGATAATTTAGGATGATCTCATCCTCAAATGCTTATCTTCATTACATCTGCAAAGGCCAATTTCTCAAATAAGGTTCTGGGCCCTTAGGATGGGGATGTATCATTGGGGGGGGGGCACCTTTCAACCCACTACAGAGGGTGACTGTTGCAAGCAGCTCTGTGTGAGTACTGCCCGTGTGATGATCCCGCCACATGCAAGGTCATGAGCAACATCTGTCTCTCCAACAGTCAACCATGAGCTCGGGGAGGCAGGGCAGGCTCCCTCTCTCTGCTGCTACTGTCCCACCTGCAGCAGCCAGCACACTGCCCAGTGTGATGGTAGGCAGTGGTGGTGGCAGTGATGGTGGGAGGGGACTCACTCACCGCACCTGCATTATAGTGTCTGTGACTCTGGCTGCAGCTGGTCCCATGTCACACCGTGTGACCATTTGGAGGATGTGAACAGAAACGCAAATACTAGCAGCCATTCATGGACTGACCTTGACAGCCCAGCTTCCAGATGAGAAAAACAAAATTCAGAGCAAGTCATCAGACCTGCCGCCTCCAAATTCCATGCTCAGAATCTCTTGGCCCTCTTGCCTGGCTCTCTGAGCTTGGCCCAAGTAACTTCACATCCCTGAACCTTGGTTTCCTCATCTGTAAAATGGGAATAACACAGACCTCTTGGTGACAGTGGATTGGCAGGATTTGGATGAGCATGTAGGTACCGGGCACTTAGCCCAGGGCCTGGCCCACCATGGGTCTGGGGTGTGTACTGAGGAGTCTCCTAGTCCCGGTAGGCCCAGGCTGTGGAGGACATGCCCCTCTGTGTGTGAGAAATGATCTGCCGGTTCAAGAGCTGAACCCTGCCCTGACCTTGGTAAGTTACTTCTCTAAATCAAAGGATCTGGCTTCTCCACACATGGAAATCCCCTCTCTGTCTCCTGACCTTGGGTCTGGGCGCGTGTCCTTCCCCCTTCCCCTTGAGAAAAACAAGCTTCTGAGGAAGGGGCAGAGGGTTCGCATTTGGCATCTCCAGCCCCAGCCCTCACTGAGGTAAGTACACATGCCCCCCTCCACCACCACCAAGTCAAAAGACATACTCTGAATGCATTTCTCAGGGTCCCCAGCTGCTACTGCAAAGTTTCTATTGTTATCACCACCGGTGGGTAAACCCAGATGCTCACTCAGTCAGACTCCCCAGGTGTGTGCGTGAAATCTGCCTCATCTTAAATGTTATTGCTGTTAAAAAAAAAAATTCAGAGCATAAGAACTAAACAACACATCTGCCAGTTAGGTGTGTTTGCAGAAAATCATGCCTTCTTTTTACAGAAAGGGAAACTGAGGCCCAGAGAAGGAAGAAGCTACCCTAAGGAGTCTGTGAGTTCAGGATTCCGTGTTCACCTTCCCCAGGTGAGGGAACTTGTCACCCAGAATGGGACCACTGACACGGTGCGTGCCTCCTGTCGCCCCGCGCAGAGAAGACAGTGTCACTCCAATAATTTCTGCCACCAGAGTCTAGTCAAAGGAAATACCAGACAAACCCGAATCTAGGGGGACAACCTGCAAAGACCAGGCTGTAAATGTTCAAAAATGTCAATCAAAACAAAAATGTCAACTTCGGGAAACAAAAAAAGGCTGAACCACTGGACAGGACAGGAGACTAAAGAGACTCAAGAAGCAAATGCAAAAAGACTGGTCTCAGGTTACATGCTGGACTGGGAAAAAAAAAGGTTTTGCTATAAAGAACACTTTGGGTTCAAGGAGTAATTTGAATATATGCTGCATTGTGAGTGTATGGCTGGCTGCTACAGGTTTTGGTTTTTGATAACTATACCAAGGCTGTAAGTTACTGGGCTGTGACCTCGGAAGAGAATGTCCTTCTGCTTGAAAATACTCAACCATGGGCCTCCCCGGTGGCGCAGCGGTTGTGCGCTGGGTTGCGAAGCTGCCCGCGGCCTCTGCGGCGCCAGTTCGATCCCCGGCTACTCCCCGGCCACCGGAGGAGGGTCCCACATGGCGCGCAGACCTCTCCTGCCGCCCGCTGCTCCCCTCAGCAGTGTACTTCGGTCCTTCTGCCTGCTCTGCTCCCTGCTCTGGCTCTGGTGAATTCTCTCACCCTCCCGTGCTTCTGA